TTGATAATAGACTCAAGCATCTTCCCCACTACAGAGGTTAAGCTAACCGGTCTATAATTCCCCATCTTTTGTCTACTTCCCTTTTTAAACAGTGGCGTCACATTTGCTGTTTTCCAATCTGCTGGGACTGCCTCAGAGTCCAGCGAATTTTGGAAAATTACCGCTAGTGCACCTGCTATTTCTCCCGCCATCTCTTTTAGTACCCTGGGATGTATTCCATCAGGGCCAGGAGACTTATCAATCCTTAGCTCCATTACCTTGCCCAACACTCCCTCTTCCGTAATTGTGATTGTTTCCAGGTCCTCACCTACCTTCGTCTCTTTGTCAATTACTGGCATGTTATTAGCGTCCTCTACTGCGAAGACCGATACAAAATACCTGTTCAATGCCTCGGCCATTTCATCATATCCCGTAACTAAGTTCCCCTTCTCATGCTCTAAAGGGCCAACGTTTACTTACGCCACTCTTTTTCGTTTTATATATTTATAGAAACTTTTCCTATCTGTCTTTATATTCTGTGCTAGTTTTTTCTCATGTTCTATCTTACTTTTCCTTATAGCTCTTTTTGTGGCTTTCTGTTGACCTTTAAAGTTTTCCCAATCTTCTAGTTTCATGCTGTTTTTGGCCACTTTGTATGCCTTCTCTTTCAATTTGATAGCCTCCCTTATTTCTTTAGACACCCATGGCAGATTACCCCTTTTCTTACAGTCCTTCCTTTTCATTGGAATATACTTTTGCTGAGCACTTTGAAAGATTGCTTTGAAAGTCCTCCACTGCTCGTCAACTGTCCCACCGTAAAATCTTTGTTTCCAGTTTACTTTAGCCAAGTCCTCCCTCATTCTATTGTAGTTCCCCTTGTTCAAGCACAGGACCCTGGTATTGGATTTTATCTTCACACTCTCCATCTGTATTCTAAATTCAACCATACTGCGATCACTCCTTCCAAGAGGATCCCTAACTATGAGGTCATTAATTATTCCTATCTCAGTACACAGGACCAGATCTAGGATAGCTTGCTCCCTTGTTGGTTCCATTACATACTGTTCAAGAAAACTATCATGGATACACTCAACGAACTCCTCCTCAAGGCTACCCTGACCGAGCTGGTTCGACCAATCTACATGTAGGTTAAAATCCCCCATGATAATTGCCGTACCATTTTTACAGGCATTAGTTATTTCTTTGTTTATTGCCCGCCCAATGTGATGTTATTATTTGGTGGCCTATAGACTATGCCTATCAGTGACTTTTTCCTCTTAGAATTTCTAATTTCCACCCAAATGGATTCAACCTCATTCTCCATAGAACCTATATCATCTCACAGAACCGCCCTGATGGCGTCCTTGAATATCAGAGCTACACCACCTCCCTTACCTTCCTGTCGGTCCTTCCGAATAGTCTGGTACCCTTGGATATTTAACTCCCAGTCGTGACCATCCGGTAACCATGTCTCCAAATCAATAATGGCTACCAAATCATATTCATTCGCGATGATTTGTGCCGTTAACTCATCAACCTTGTTACGAATGCTACGAGCATTCAGGTAAAGTGCCTTTATGCGAGCTCTCTTACCCTCATGATTTCCAACATCTCTCATAATATCTCCCGAGTTATCCTTCCTTTTTGCTTCTTTCATAGTCTGCCTTGAACTTAAACCCTCCTGCACACATGCTAACCTGCTGCTTACCTTTTTATTTACCATCATACTCCCTGTCATTTTCCCTTTCCCTTACCCCCAACTCACTACTTTAAAATCCTAGTGACCACCCTATTTATCCTTTTCGCAAGAACACTGGTTCCAGATCGGTTCAGGTGGAGACCGTCCCATCGGTACAGATCCTTCCGGTTCCAAAACTGATGCCAATGCCCCATGAAATGGAACCCCTCTTTCCCACACCACTCCCTTAGCCACGTGTTTACTTCCCTAATTTTCTTATCCCTAAGCCAATTTGCACGTGGCTCGGGCAGTAATCCGGAGATTATGACCCTCGAGGACCTGTTCCTTAATTTCGGTCCTAGTGCTTGATAATCCCCAAACAGGTCCTCCATCCTCGCCTTGCCTATGTTCTTAGTCCCAACGTGGACGACAACAACTGGATCCTCCCCCTCCCGCTCCAATATCCTTTCAAGCCGATCAGAGATGTCCTGTACCCTGGCACCGGGACTCCTGATCCGGCTTGCAAAGGATACCATCTATCCCCCTAACTATAGAATCCCCTATAGCTACCACTTGTCTTTTTGCTCCCCCCTCTTGAATGGCCTTCTGCACCACGGTGCTGCGGTGAGCTGGCTCATCCAATAAACAATAAACTATTAGAAGAATACCAAAGTGTACTAAGTTAAGATCATAAGAATTAGGAGTAAGACGAGGCCACGTGGCGCATTCAGTCAAGGCTAATCAGATTGGATTAATTGATTGATTGATTGGTTGATTGATTGATTTTATTGTCACATGAACCAAAATACAGTGAAAAGCTTTGTTTACGAGTAGTACACAAAGATCAAAGATCACAGCAAGCAAAAGATGTACACATCAGAAAGACTTGGAGACACACAGGTTACATTATTTGAGGCATTAGCCCATTCAGCAGTCTGATAACAGCCGGAAAAAAGCTATTCCTGAATCTGCTTGTGCATGTGTTCAGGATTCTGTACCTTCTGCCTGACAGGAGAGGTCATTGGAGATCATTACCAGGGTGCAATGGGTCTTTGATTATGTTGGCCACCTTGATGCAAATTCCACTTGCCTGCCAGCTTCAATTATCCTCGACTCCCTTGTAATCAAATATCTGCCTTACTCAGCCTCGAATAGATCTGATGTGAAGAGGGGAAGTGCTCATTCACCTACCTACAAATGACACTAAGGCTCCAAATAAGGAGTGATACTATTAAGATAATCACAACGCTACTGAGAAGGAACAGACCCAAAGACAGAGGAACCTATAAAGGGTGCTTACTTTCTTATGTGGATAGAAAAACCAGTGTCCAAAATGACCTGATGCAAAAAAGATGCATGATGTTCTTGAAGGAAAAACTGACATTGAATTATTGTTCCGTGGCCTTACTCAAACATAAAGCTTATGATGCAAACAAACAGAAGACTGATGGAAATATTTAAATATCTACAGATTTAAATTGTTAAAGTCTTAACAGTCTTGGCTATTAATGTGACCAATGAAATCCCTACTCCTTACCCATTGGTGAAGACAGCTGAGTGACCAAACCGATTGACATCATGACAAAGATCAGGTGGAGGCAGCACAGACCACTCGTCACAAGCTGTGGGCACACAAAAGCAAATTAATCAAAACAAAGCTTGGTTATGAATTAAAAGAAATTATATGCCACATGCATTACATTTACACTAACTGCAGGCATAATTTTAAGTAGTTGTTGTCATGGACCTCGAAACTTTAAGGCCGTTTCACCTCAGATGCGGTCAGGCATGTTGAGTTTCTCCAGCACTTTGAGAATGATCCATTATTGTATGATTAACTTTAGAAATGTAAAGCATATTCTTACTGTGTTTTGCACAATAAGCTCTACATTGAGATTTCAGCAACATCCAATTTATTTTTCTATTACTTATGGTCATTCTTGCCCTAAGGTTATCACCTTATTACGCAGGCATGAAGTCACATTCAAACATTGTGAAATTTCAGCTCCTGACTGTTGGGTTACTGGTTTTATATAACAAGCAGAGAGCCATATCCTACTTTGACTTAGATTAAGGAGTCTTGGTTCTGGTCCTGTTTCTCCTCTTCCATATTGAAACTTATTAACTTGAAACTTGACATATTAAAAAGAAAATGCATGGACCAGCAGAAAAACCACGTAACAATGTATACATAACCCATGAAATCTCCTGTAGATAATCCTGGACAAATGCTCTACAATCCTGAAAAGTGAACAAATCTAAAAATTATCTAACTGCTCTTGTATTGCAGTTCAGAACTGCTCTACTGCCACCTGGAGACAATTTTCCTCACATCCACTGGTAGCACAGGAAAATTAATCTCTGACAGATTAGTGAAACTATCAAGTACAATCCTATGGGAGAACATGAAATATGGCTGCTCCTCAATATTAGAGAGGAAAAAGAGCAAAGGCAGAGATAAACAGCACTAAGCACAATTGTTCATTTGTAGCTTGGAGCAAACACGGCAACACATCCCTCAGACTACTTAAGTAGTCTGGGTACAAATGCAGCAAGATTTCCATAATATCCAATCTTGGGCTGACAAGTAACATTTGTACCACAGTCATTCCCTGGAACCTATCTCCAATAAGTGTGAATCTGATCATTGAATGAATGTTGTTGGACAATCAGTATTGCCATCAATGAATCCACCACTAACAGAAACGTGTAGGTCACAACTTACTAGAAATGACTAGGCTCGACATAAAACTACTGTGGCTACAAGAGTAAGTCACAGGTTAGAAACTCTGCAGTGGTTAAGTCACTCCTTGATTCATAGAAGATAGAACAGTACAGGCTCTTCAGCCCACCTTCCTACATTTTACTATCATCCATGTGCCGATCCAAGAGTTACTCAAAAGTCTCTAAAGTATCTGACTCCATTTCCACTGCCGGCAGCGCATTCCACGCGCCCACCACTCTGTGAAGAACCTACCTCTGACATCTCCCCTATACCTTCCTCCAAATCACCTTAAAATGACTCCCCCTCGTAATAGTCATTTCCGCCCTGGGAAAAAATCTCTGGCTATCCACTCTATCTATGCCCATCATTTTGTACACCTTTATCAAGTCACCTCTCATCCTTCTTCGCTCCAATGAAAACAGTCCTAGCTCCCTCAACTTTTTCTCCTAAGACCTGCCCTCCAGTCCAGGCAGCATCCTGGTAAATCTCCACTGCACCCTCTCTAAAGCTTCCACATGTATCATGTAATGAGGTGACCAGAACTGAACACAATATTCCAAGTGCGGTCTGACCAGGGTTTCATAGATTTCCCAACACCTTTCCTTCAACAAGGCCCAAGTTAGGAGTGTGATGGAATATGCACCAGTTTTCTGGATGAATTCAACTCCAACTTCAGAATAAACTTCTTGATTTTGAGAGGACTTGAATATAAAAGCAGGGATGTACTACTGAGGCTTTATAAGGCTCTAGTCAGGCCACATTTGGAGTATTGTGTGCAATTTTGGGCCCATATCTCAGGAAGGATGTACTGGCCCTGGAGCGGGTTCAGAGGAGGTTCACAAGAATGGTCCCAGGAATGACAAGCTTAACATACGAGCAACGTTTGAGGACTCTGGGACTATACTCATTGGTGTATAGAAGGTTGAGGGGGGATCTAATTGAAACTGAATACTGAATGGCCTGGATAGAGTGAATGTTACGAAGATGTTTCCATTGGTAGGAGAGACGAGGACCTGAGGGCACAGCCTTAGAGTAAAGGGAAGACCTTTTAGAACGGAGATAAGGAGAAACTTCTTCAGCCAGATGGTGGTGAATCTATGGAATTGACTGCCACAGAAGGCTGTGGAGGTCAGGTCATTGAGTACATTTAAGACTGAGATAGGTAGGCTCTTGATTATCAAGGGGATCAAGGGTTATGGGGACGAAGCAGGAGAATGGGGGTTAAGGAACTTATCAGCCATGACTGAATGGTGGAGCAGACTTGATGGGCTGAATGGCCTAATTTATGCTCTTAAATTTGAGATTATCTCGGGCAAAGCATCCAGCTTGACTGGCATCCTGTACCACCTTCAATATTTACTTCCTTCACCACAAAGTGCACAGTGTGCACCATCCAAAATGTACAGTGGTAACTGACTAAGGCTCTGTCAACAGCACCTCCTATGGGAACACCACCACTCAAGTTCCCCTCCAAGTCACACACCATCCTAACTTGAAACAGTCACTTCACTGTCCGTGGGTCAAAACCCTGGAACACTGTCCCTACACTTCAGATAGCTTACCACCACGCTCCCGGGCTACTTTGGATGGGCAATAAATGCTGGCCAAGCCAGTGACACCCTGAAACCATGAACATATTTTAAAAACAAAAGACAACGCTGCATTGAAGCTTCAAGAAAACAAGGAAAGCATGATGTTATTGAAATTTCTTTTTCCAAAAGCAAAACAACAATCAATTTGGTTTCATACTTGATTACAGCCTTGGTCCAAACATGAACAAATGGGCTACATTCCAGTGGTGAGATGTCAGGAGCAAGTCAGCATTTCAGCGCGGACAAATCTATCAGTGGCTGAAGAAATGGTGTGGTGGGCAAGATTTCAAATTTTTGGATCATTGGGATCTCTTTTGAACAGGTCTTTCCTGCCCCAGAAGGAACGGGTTTCACTTTACTGCAAGGAAACCAATATAATGGCGGGCAGATTTAATAGTGCTATACAGGGGCCTTTAAACAGTTTTTTTTCCAGTGGGGGGTGCTGGTGGCGTGCAATCCTGGACAGTCATAAGAAAGATGAGCAGGTTCTGAATTTTAAAAAGAGCAAGTTAATTAGAAAAAGCAGGCAACAGCAAGTCACAGAATGAGGTAACTGATTAATTAAACTGCATTTATTTCAATGCAAGAGATCTTACAGATAAGGCATAGATAACAAGGTGTGGAGCTGGATGAACACAGCAGAGGAAAGCTGACGTTTCAGATCTGGGCTGTTCTTCAGAAATGGGGGAAGGGAAGGGGACTCTGGAATAAACAGATAGAGGGGGAGGTGATGATAGAAGGTGGATAGAGGAGCAGATAGGTGGAGAGAAGACGGACAGGTCAAGGCAGGGATGAAGCCAGTACAGGAGAGTGTAGGTAGGGAGTTGGGATGGGGGTTGGCAAGCAAGGGGAGGGAAGGAAGACGGACTGGTCAAGGAGGCGGGGATGAGGCTAGTCGGGAGGAAGTGGGGGTGGGGGTTGGTCAGTGAGGTTAGAAGAGCAGGCAGGTGGGAGAAAAGACAGACGGGTCAAGGAGGCAGGGACGAGAGGGGCTGGTCTTGGGATGAGGTCAGGAGCGGGGAAATTTTTAAGCTGGTGGAGAAGTCCACATTGAGACCGTTGGGTTGCAGGGTTCCCAGGTGGAATATGAGGTGCTGTCCCTCCAGCCTTCGGATGGCATCGTTGTGGCACTGGAGGCAGCCGAGGATGGACATGTCATCCAAGCAGTGGGAGGGGGAGTTGAAGTGGTTCGCGACTGGAGGTGTAGTCGTTCGTCACGAACGGAGCGTAGGTGCTCCACAAAGCGGTCTCCAAACCTCCACTTGGTTTCCCCAATGTAGCGGAGGCCACATCGGGAACAGCAGATACAATATACCACATTACTGGATGTGCAGTTGAACATCTGTTTAATGTGGAAGGTTTTCTTGGGGCCTGGGGGGGGTGCAGCGGTGTATGGGCAGGTAAGGCAGATGAACTCAGGGAACATGGGACTGGGACATCATAGTTCTTATAAAAACATGCCTGAGGGAGAGACAGGACTGGCAGCTCAATGTTCCGAGGATAGAAAGGGAGGCAAGAGAGGAGGGGGAGTGGTGGTTTTAAGGAAGACATTGTTGTACGGAGAGAAGATATTTCTGAGGGATCGTCCAGTGGAACTCAGAAATAAGAAGGGGATGATCATCTTATTGGGATTATATCATAGGTCACCCAATAATCAAAGAGAAAAGGCACAAGTCAGGACTATGATAGAATACTCCCCAACTGCCTGATGTGTACAGCCCCAACACTCAAGAAATTGACATGATCCAGGACAAAGCAGCCACTTGATTGGCACTATAACCACAAGCATCCATTCCCACCACCACCTACACTCAGTAGCAGCAGTGTGTACTATCTACAAGCTGCACTACAGAAATTCACCAAAGATCCTCAGACAGCACCATCCAAACCCATGACCGCTTGCATTTAGAAGGACAAGGGCAGCAGATACGTGGGAACACCACCACCTTCAAGTTCCCCTCCAAGCCACTCACTATCCTGACTTGGCAATATATCGCCGTTCCTTCACAGTTGCTGGGTCAAAATCCTGGAATTCCCTCCCTAATAGCATTGTGGGTCAACCCACAGTCAGTGGACTGTGGTAGTTCAAAAAGGCAGCTCACCAGCACCTTCTCAAGTGCAACAAGGGACGGGCAATAAACGCTTGCCAGCCAGCAACACCCACAATCCACAAATGAATTTTTTAAAAATTTGCCACATATCTGGATAAGTACAACACTCAAGAAACTCTACCCCACCCAAGATAAAAGAACTTTTCACTCACTGATCCCCTTAAACTTTTACTCCCAATAGCAGCCCACCACGG